TGAAGCAAGAGCTGAGGCCACTGGTGTAAAACATGAGGCCACTGGTGCAAAAGATGAGGCCGCTGGTGCAGATGAAAAGGGAGAAGGTGAGGAGGAGTGGGAAGAATGGGAGTGGGAAGACTGGGGCTGGAGCAAAAGTGAGAAGAAGGAATGGAAATGGGAGAGGAGAAATGGGAGCGCGAAGGATGCAGCCAGAAAGAAGTGGGCCTTGAGGATGCCTGGTGAAGAGGACCCACAGAAGCAAGAGATGCTGAAGCTGGCTGCCCTGCAAAATGCCAGGTACAACAGGGTCATGACCAGGAGGGCCAACGCTGCTGCTGAAGCAGCCAGAAAGGCAGTTCAGGAGCAACATGAGGCAGCTGCAGCTGCCTACAGGGCCACCCAGGAGGCCTGGGCCAGGGTGCAAGCTGAACAGTGGGCCCAGCAGCAGCAAGCAGCACAGCAGTACCATGACTGGTGGTACTATGGTGGGGGATGGCAGTATGACTCTGCTGCCCAGGGAGGACTATTTTTTTTCACACTCTGCTACTCATTCACTATTCTTCCTCTTTCTCATGTACAGGACTTTGTTCTTAATGATTTGACCTGCTTCCACTGCAGGACCACCCCCTGCCAGCCACCATGGAGCTCAGGCCAGCCACCATGGAGCCCACGGCAGCCACCATGAAGCAAAAGGAGGACTGTGACAATTTCTTTTGCAAACCAAATCCAGTGCAATACTTTTACTTTCAATTTGATGGCTTGCTGTAATCCTGGTGTGTGTGTGTGTGCAGGCCAGAAGCCACAGTTTGGCCCTGCAGGTGATGACTATGCCAAGCCCAAGCAGAAGCCCAAGCCCAAGGCCCCTGTACAGGCTGCTCCAGTCCCCCCTGGGCCTTGTCAAAGGGCTCCAGTAGAAGTGAAGGAAGAGGAGGGGGATTCTGAATGGCAAGTGCCAAAGAGACATGCCAAGAAGCAAAAACAAAAGAACAAGGGTGGCTGAACAAAACTAGCACAGCTGAAGTATGGGTCTTGACAAAGGGCCCCAGCCTGACAGCTCTGTGGAAAGAAAAAAAGCACTTGGACATGGGAGTGGAGGACACCCAGCCTCACATGAGCTCACATGAGCTCATATGAGAACACCATTGCCTCACATGAGGCAAAATCACCTCATATGAGGCATACAATGCCTCATATGAGGCACCCTCACCTCACATGAGCTCACATGAGATCATATGAGGCTGTAGTGGTAAATGTGGCACATCACAGTTTTGATTTTGTTTTCGCAATGTTTGAGCCGTGTGCCCTGAAGCTTTCTGGCTCAAGTTGGAAAAACATATTCCTGAAACAGGGACCCTTGGCCTTGAGAAGGGCTTCGACTGGGCCTTGGCAAAGGGCTCTTGCCATGGCACCAAAAAAGGTGATCAAGATTTTGAAGAAGCCATCCAGTTTGGACCAGCTGCCCCAACAAAAGGGCATGAGCCTTGAAGAGAAAATGGAGGCCTTTGCCAAGGCCAAGAATGCAAATGTGGTTGCATTCCTTGATTCGCTCAGCACACCCCAGAGACAGGCCCTCTGGCAAAGGTTCAGTCCACCCAGAAATGCACTGAAGGATGAGAATGCAGACCAACTGTGGTCTGACCTGGCCAAGGGGAAAGGGTCTGACCCTCACAAGAAAGCATTGCTGCAATGCTTTCTGAAGCTGGGTGGGGACCTCAAGAGCAAGAAGGAGGTCTACATGAAGGAGCTGGTTTCCTACTGTAAGGTGCATGGTTTCTTGGTTGCACTCATTGCTCTTTTGCCTCCAGTACTTTCCTCCACTTAGCTCTCCTGTCAGCTCAGGCCACACCAGCTCTGAGGAATGGGTCCCCTTTGCCACAGTGTTGAAGCACTATGGACTGGCTGAAGCAATGCGCAGAGCACTTGGCCTCAATCAGCTGTCCTTTGGGGTATGTGCAATTCTACCTTGTTAAATTGTTCTTTTTTCATGTGAGGTGCACAGGGGGACCATCCTCTGCAGAAAAGACCCTGAAGATGAATGTGAATGGCAGTTCTGCCTCAAAAAGAAGCTTGAATGGACCAAGGAGGAAACAAGACATGAACATGATGCCTGGTGAAATGGGGGATGCTAACCAGGCAAAGCTGGCTTTGGCAGAGGTGACTGGCAAGGGCTTGCCAGCCCTCATGGACAAGGAGAGGGGGGCAGCTGCAGGAAGTGAACAGGACCAGGACAATGCTGTTGTGGAGGCAGACCTCCTCTCTGACATGGGTGGTCAGCTGGTCAAGGAAGAGGCCAAAACAAGGCTGAACAGGATGGTGAAACTCCTTCAGACAGTGAAGGGGGAAGTTGGTGCAGAGAAGGGGAAGCCATTGGACAAGGCCCTCACTGACCTGAAGAAGCTCTTGAAGCGAGGGGGCAAGATGACCATGGACCAGGCCAAGCAGCATCTCTTTGATGCAGCCTTGGAGATCAAGAAGGTGAAGAAAGCTAAGTAAGCCTTGTCAAAAGGGCAGTGGTCTTGGCAAAGGGCCACCAGGCAATCTAGATGAGCTTTTGCCCAGGCATGGATCTTCCCTAGAAAAGATGAGCATTGCAAACACCTCATGGAATGCATACTGTGGCAGGGACCAACTTGGCAGGGACCAACATGCCACACCTTAGCGCTTCCAGCTTCAAGATTTCAATGCAGGCTCTGAGTAAGGGCAAGAGTTGGCCTTGGCAAAGGGCTACATGACAAAGTGGAAAAGAAAAAAGCATGAGATCCCAGAAGAGCCTGCTTCAGAACCAGGCTTCAGCCCATTAGGCTTGTCTTTGCTTGAGCAATTTGCAAATGGAATGTCAGTACCTGGTTGCAATAAAGACTGCTTTTGCATGTGCTGATGTTTTTGCAGCTGGCCATGACTTTGTTATCTAAGGGTCCTGCCATTCAATCTTTGGCCTTGGCTGCTGTGAAACCTGGCGCTGATGCAAATGACATCCAAGAGATTGCCAGCTTGGGCAATTATGGCAGGAATTCAAACCATATAGCAGGGCAATTGACACACAAATATTGTAAAGATGATACATTGGCTATCCCAATGCCTTATTTCTTTGAAGCCCCTGTGATGAAGAAAGGTTCTGACTCCACCTATCTGGGCATGGCTCAGCTGGCTGTATTTCTTCCACATGAGTGGTTCTGTTGGATGGAGGGTCATGGCCATGTATCAGGAGCATCAGAGATGGAAGATTTCTGGGCAGCGCACTTGGATTCAGACCCAAAATTGACCCACAACCCAGTGATGGCAGAGGGCAAAGAAAAATTCCTCCCCCTGGCCTTGCATGGGGATGGAGGGCAATTTCAAAGATGGGACAGCATCAACATTGTTTCATTCAGGTCACTGCTTTCTGCTGGGAATGTTGGTACCACCCAAATGCTCCTTGCCGCCATTCCAAAGAGTTGTATTTCAAAGAGTGAAGTTCCAGAGCAAGACACCATGTCTTGTGTTTGGAAGGTCCTTGTTTGGAGCTTTGAGCATTGCTTCTTTGGAAAATTCCCAGAAAGGAACCATGAGGGAAAGAAGTGGACATCTGCAGACAAGCAAAGGCAAGACAAAGCTGGGCTGCCTCTCCAGACCTCCCACACCAAGGCTTGTCTATTTGCTGTCAGTGCTGATGGTGAATATTTGCAAAATGAATTCAGGCTGGCTGGTGCTTCCCGCAACAAGATGTGCTTCAACTGTGATGCTGATAAAGATTCCCTGCCATACAATGATTTCAGGGTTTCAGCAGGCTGGAAAAAGACTATCAAGAAGCATGAAGGTGCAACCCCAACAACACACCTGATCAAAAAGATCCCAGGTTTCAATGGACATTCCTTCCACTATGACACCCTGCACAACTTAGAGGAAGGAGTTGCTAGCCATGCATTGGCCAACACAATGTTTGATTTGTGTTTGAAGTCTGAGGGCTTGGGTGGGACACAGGATCAGAATGTTGTTTCTTTGTACAAGAAGGTGCTACAGCAGTACCATGAGCAGGGGATCATTGCATCAGATCGAATAAGGAGACTGGGCATGTCAAATTTTTGCCAGCCCAAGAGCAAGTATGATCATTTTCCTGAGCTCACAGGATACAAAGCTCGACACATAAGATATCTTGTGCCTGTGATCATGGAGATAGCCAAGGAGTTCAAGAAGGATGATGATGAGTACAGCCAGCACAGGTTCCAATGTTTATTTCACCTCAATGGCATGTACCAGTGCATTGACAGCTCTGGTATGCACATGGATGCCAACACTTGGAAGCTGTTCAAGCATCATACAGATCGCACGTTGTTGCACTACTCCAGGCTCTCCAAGATCACCATGCAAGATGGGTGGTTGCAATGGAGTACAGTCCCCAAGTTCCATCTGGTGGCTCACATGCCAGACCAAGCCAAGTATTTGAACCCCAGATTTGTTTCAACCTATGCAGGAGAAACAATGATTGGCCATATGTCCAGGTGTGCCCACTCTTGCTTGAATGGCACACCTGCCCACCTGGTGCCAGAGAAGGTTCTTTGGCGCTTCAGACTTGGGTTCCACCTCAAGTTCTTGCATGGCTCAGGTGAAGTTCCTACATCCAGTGATGAAGAGTAAGTCTTGCAACAAGAGGGCTTCCTTCTGAATTGGGTCTTGAGAAAGGGCCTCATACACTGCATCAGGGTCTTGACAAAGGGCTCTCATGCTGCACTGTGCATCATGAGGTGAAAAAAGTTGAGTGAATTTCACAACCTGTTACTGAGACATTATTGAAACAGCCTTAAGTCCTTATTGAAACAGCCTTTATTGAAATAGGTTTCTAAACCAATAACTGTTATTGAAATGTTTCAATAACAAGCAAAAACACAAACCAATAAGAAAATCTATGTTTTTATTGAAATGGCTACTGATTATTGAAATGGTCGTAAATTATTGAATCTTTTCAATAGGGCGTACTCTGGGCCTCACGAGGCGGTTCTCCTTGTAGATTCATTCGTTGAAGGGCAGAGTCCACGTCAGTGCGTAACTGCAGGTGAGAAAAGTCCTTATCTAGGGTAGACAAGTCAGCACCTACGATGTGTCGGTTGCTGAAGCTTTGCGTCAACTGCGCACTGTAGTCCTGCGGACTCACGGCGACCATGATAAGTGAATTATCCAACCTGGAAAGGGCATTTAACGGTCCAAACAGCCGAGAAAGACACTCGTTGCTGCTATAGGACACGTCATAAACAGCGCGAATCTTAGGGCGCTCTGAGAGCGCGCGACGACTGCGCAAAGATCCGATCCAGGCTTCAGAAATCGTCGAAAGGTCAGTTTTGCTGAGGTAATCGCTGATTTCGTGCTCTCCACCATGGAGATACAATGACCCCCAAAGATTCTGGGCCAACAAATTCGAAACAGCGGACACATTTTCGTCAGACTTGCGAGGCCTAAACGAGTGTGCCGGCAGCAAATAAAAAGGTTTGGAGTCCTCTGTCAAACTGAGTCGCTCCAAAGCTTCACGTCGAAGGTTTCCGTTATTGAGGAACAACGAGTACAAGTAGCCCCCGCTGCTGTCCTTCGACACCCGTTGTCTTTGAATTCTGGCTTGATTCCAGTCCCACAAAGGTATTGACTGATGCCCGTTGAAAAACGAGTCTTCAATGATCAAGTGAGCCAGATGCATAAACGAGTTGGTGTGTACAGGGTCCGCCTTTAGGTCCAACCTGCAGTGCTGACGCTTTAGAAAGTCGTCACATAGTGCAAGTGAACCAGCATCAGGAGTGTCCATTGAAAATCTCTGATGTCGTTCAAAGGCTTGCTCAAGCTCTATACGGGAATACCCGCTCTTCAAAGCCAGTTGCAAGTCCTCATCTGTAGGCGAACTCCTTCCGTATGGAAGTGACCATCCGACATTGCTACCACAAATTGATAAACGTGGCATGGGCATATTTGAGCCGAAATCTTACACATTAAGTGTAAAAATCCGTATAAACCTCAAAGAGCCCCCAATGGCACGCACAGCGGA